AAGCTGGACATTATTGGCGGTTCGAGCAGCATTCAGGTGGAGGTCTGGCATCGCAGCCTCCTCATGGACTACTTTATCGGCCAGGTGAAGCTGATGCCGCTTCCCACACGGCGTTCCGGTGCTGGTGGGGAATCGAGAGATAAAGAAAATAGTGAGGAAGAAGCCACCTTGAAAGTGGGCCTGCTTGACCGAAAGGGCGTCAACAGTCGCCCGGGGACGTTGCTCTACCAGCTGACCACCTGGGAGGACTTGAAGCGATTCTAAAGCGGCTTCTTTTTCTGTTTACCACGACACTCTCACATTGCCATGACTAATCTTGAGATGAAGATGATACTTAACCGACAATCAGCTACTACTACTACTACTAATTTAACAAAATTATGTAACTTACGAGTATTACCACAGACATTCTTTTGTTTTTTTTTGAATAAAGATGGCCGATTTTGGAAAGGAAAAAATCGAGCCCTCAATCTGCAGCCAGTTTGAAAGCTGACACCTGAGGGCGCCACCGGTAACACAGACTTGTGTTGATTTTCACGCTGCTTTCGCCGCCTTTCCCATCACTCTTTGCCTCGCTCTCACTTTCTCTTTCGGCTCTGTCAGAGAAGCCTCCTCGTCGTTTGCCTGTCGTTTCGCAAACACAAACAAACTGACTGGCTCTTCTCCAAATCGAAATCTAAATCACCTCGATTCTTCAAGTCATCCGCCCTCCCCCTTGACCACTTTGTGTTCACTCCCACCACTACCACCACTACCACCACCGCCGTCATCAACAGCAATTTAAGATGAACTCGGACGGTGCTGGCCATGGCAGCAGCGGCGTCGCCTCTAACGGCTGCGCCCCGGGCGCCTCAGGCCAAGCGCAAAGCTCCTCCTCGGCCGGCGGCGTCTCCTCCACCTCCTCCTCTACTTCCTCGGCCGCCGCCGACGCCGCCTTTGCGCCGATCAAGATTCTCATCGCCTCCGACATTCACCTCGGCTACTCGGAGGTGCACCCGATCAAGGGCGACGACAGCTTTCGCGCCTTCGAGGAGGTGCTGAAGGCGGCGGCGAAGCACGACGTCGACCTGATCCTCCTCGCCGGCGACCTCTTTCACGTCAACAAGCCGTCGATTGCGACGATGAACCGCGCCAGTGCTCTGATTCGCAAGTACTGCTTCGGCGAGTACGACGAGGAGACCTGCGGCCAGCGGCTGCGAATTCGCAACTTCAAGCAAGCCAACTTCCTCGACCCGAACCTGAAGGTGCGCTACCCCATCTTCACCATCCACGGCAACCACGACGACCCCACCGGCGTCCACCAGACCAGCGTCATCGACCTGCTGGACAGCACCGGCCTGGTGAACTACATCGGCAAGCGGAACCACGTCGAGGACGTCATCCTCAAGCCGATCATCCTCGAGAAGGGCCTCACCAAGATCGCCCTCTACGGCCTGGGCGCGATGCACGAGGAGCGCCTCCACCACCTGATCAACGCCGACAAGTTCAACTACATGATGCCCGACGACGACCAGAACAAGTACTTCAAGCTGCTGCTGGTCCACCAGAACCGCATTCCCCGGCCGGGCACGAAGCACCTCGACCCGCAGGACCTGGACGAGCTGCCGAACATGGTGGTCTGGGGCCACGAGCACGGCTGGATCGGCGAGATTGAGTTCTACCAGCAGGGCAACTTCTACATCTTCCAGCCGGGCTCGACGGTGGCCACCTCGCTGTGCGACGCCGAGGCCGGCGACAAGGGCTACGGCGTGCTCACCGTCAACTACAACGTGCAGAAGGCGAAGCAGCGCTTCAAGCTGGCGACGCACACGCTGGAGAGTGTGCGGCCCTTTCTCCTCAAGACCGTCAACGCTGACGAGCTGCTGGAGAAGAAGAAGTTCAAGAGCGCCGAGGAGGCGCAGGACCACCTCTACAACCTGTGCAAGTGAGTGCTGGGAGCTGTTTTTGGTGTATGTTCTAAATCCTAAACCTGGTTCTTTTCTTTTTCTTGCCTGCAGAACGGAAATCAAGGAGATGCTGCGCACGGTGCGCGTCGAGTACAGCAGCAACCTCCTGCCGCTGATTCGCCTCCGCGTNTAAATGCTCTAAATCCTAAACCCTTTTTTTGCAGAACGGAAATCAAGGAGATGCTGCGCACAGTGCGCGTCGAGTACAGCAGCAACCTCCTGCCGCTGATTCGCCTCCGCGTCGAGTTCACCGACCCCGAGGTGAAGTTCGACACGAAGCGCTTCAGCCGCGAGGGCTTCAACGCCAAGGTGGCCAACGCCGACGAGCTGATTCGCTTCGTCAAGCGGTCGGACGTGGCCGCCGAGTACCGCAAGGTCATGGACGAGCAGGAGAACTTCAACATGCTGGAGATGATGAACGTACTGGACGACGGCGTGGTGAAGCAGACCATCGAGGTGAGCAACATCATGGCCGACTACTTTGGCGGCCTCACCAACGAGCAGCACCAGCTGGGCCTCTTTGCCGAGCGCTACCTCACGGCGAAGATTGTGGAGTACGTGGAGAAGGACGCCTCGGACTCGGTGGCGACGCTGGTGGACAACTACAAGATGGGCCTCATCTCGATGATGGGCGAGCCGGAGACGGTGAACCCCGAGGAGCTGAAGGAGGAGATTCGCAAGGCGAAGGAGAGGCTGGAGACGAACACCGACCTGTGGATGAACTTCGACAAGACCATTCAGCAGGCGAAGGTGGCGCGCATTCTCAAGGACCG